ATTGTATCAACAAAGTACTTGCTCACTTGAGGGCATGCAGGTAAAGGTAGCTGGAAGCCTGGCTTACTTTATTTCTAACAGATGGCTCAGTTTCTGACACTAATTAAAAATCTACCTCACCTGACCTCAGTGTTTGGAATACCTCTTCATTTATCTCAGAAATCATTAAGACTCATCAATTAAACTATCTGCATCTATGCGGAACTTCAACTACTTTGGGTTTGTTCGGAACAAGATCTAAGCATCCTCTATCAATTATGTGTATAATTAACTTTGCACTCTTCAAAAAGCGTCACTGATTTCAATGAGCTTCAATGAACCTAAAACGGTATCCAACAAGTTTTTTTCATGTTGTTGCACTGGTTTTTAGTTAATTTTTCTTGAGCAGCTGTGTTGAATTAGTTCAAATATGTCGTGTGGATAGAATTAAAAAACAAGAATCCAAAGCACTGAAATATTTTTCCTGTTTTCTCTCTGTCCTTAAACTCAAACTGGTTTCTTCAAGGATTTCAGGCTGGTCTCACACTGACAGAGAATATTTGATAAAGTATACTGACACTGGTTTTCACCCTTCTGACTTTCATTAAATCATTCTCATGTATGACTTAAAATACAGCTTTTTCATCTCCTTCAACCTGAGGCATACTACCATAATTTCTTTTCTAGATTACTATATAGCAGCCCATTGCAGCTGCTGAAAGAAGCCACTAGAGTAGGTTAGGTTAGGAAGTACCCTCATGCTCCTTTGGAAACACATCCAGCTCTAGAAGTCAGTCCATCCAATTTACTTGTGATTTAGGTCACAAGTGCAAGTATCAAGGATGGAAAACCACAAACAGAAGGCAACATAGAAAAACTATTTTCAAACCCATAGTTATACCGAAGTAGTCACTACAAAAAATGATTACTTACCAGAGTAACTGTGGTTCTTTGATGTGTGTTATCCATGGAGATCTCAATCTCATTACTCTTCTTAAGGTTTCTGCTTGCCTAAAACGTCAGCATTCCTCAGTGCTGTTGCTTACATTGTATAATAAGCCTCCTATTGCATACAGCCTAAGGAGTTTAGTTTCCCATAGCATTGGCACATTTTGTTCCAGTGCGGGGTTCGAAAGGGTGTGGGCATGTGTGTACTCTAAGAGGTGAAAGCAATTGCTTATATAAAATTTGAACATATTTGAGCGAATTAGGACATAGACTGAAAGTACCTCTGTCCCTATAAAGACCACATTATTAATTTAAGGTCTGACCATCCTTTAGCTTTCAGGCTCATACAATATCACATAAAATGCTGCTTTACTGTTAGCAGCTATCAGGTCGTTAACAATTCAAGGATACTCGTATACCTTGCTAATATTACATCAACCCCCTCAGAGTGACTTAACCTTTCAATAACATTTGCCTGTGAAAGGCATAGAAGGATTGGTTCTGGATGAGAGTAATGCTCAGATGGACCCTCATGTAACCAACATAACCCTCACCGTGTCAAGATTAGCAAGCATCCTACTATGCCTGAAATAAGGCAATGTAAAGAAAGCTCCCAGGGCCGGTAGGCAGTCACTCAACTTTAAGCCTTTCCATTGGAAAGAACGTTACAAACTTCATCTAAGCACTTTTGGCAAACACATCTGGTGTCTTCAAACAATAAATTGGGTGTAGCCTAGGATTTTTTTATTTTAGAGTCTGAGAGACAGAAGACATGACTTGGAGGTCACCTAAGAGACATACCAGTTCCAAAATATCTGCATCCTATGGTCCACTGGAGAATATTGCAATAAACGTGTTATTCATCTGCTTTAGTTTCCTCCAGATCATTGCTACAATAACCATTACAAAAAAGCATATAGCGATCCCAGGGCCCAGAAAGTGAAAAAGCTTGTGAAGTGGAGGCAAGAATATGGATAGCACTGGAGCATTTCTTTTTCTTGCTGTATAGAACACTGTCTACTGACTCCTACCAAAAAACAATCACAAAAACATGCTCTCTGCACCATTGGATAAATCACTGACAACTGGACAACATGGGAGAAGTATCTGCTCTCCTACCGAAAATCTAACATACTGCTATACCGCTAGCAGCAGAAGCAGGTGAAAGAATTTGACTTAGAAGACTTCCTGAGACTCATTAGACAAGCAGTCATCAACTTATGCAGAGCAACCGTGTCTGTCAACACTTGCTTTATGAACCCCTAGCAAGGACAGAAATGCTTTTTATGCCACAGGGCACCCAGAGCAGTAAGATATTTATATTTAATGAACTTCCTGAAAAAAGCACAGAGTATTTGAAGATTTAGCTAAATAATTCACCTTGTTTTCAGGGAAGCAGTCACTGCTACAAAGCTAAAAGGCAGATCACACAAAATAAGGGTACACCTAAGTACAGTCAGTCTTTCTGCAGCTTTAAGTACAGCCAGAACTACTTCTGGGATTATGACCTTGTGCACACAGTTACTTGACTACGCCCAATAACTTCCCTCACTTACCTTTAAGTTCATCACCCTCAAAAGAACTTGATCATCACTCAGGTATACTGAGATTATAGCTTGAATAATCTTAAAACCACAGGTGGCCCAGCACAAACACATGCCACCACTTGCAGGAAAACAACCTGCCAGCTGTTCCTTATGACGAATTTCAACTCTTCCATGTTTCAGAGGGAGCTAGTCCATAAACTTGAGAGAATCTTATCCTGTTCACCAAATTCTACTTTGCCGGGAGCGCTAGATAACAAGCTGCCTACCTTTGACAGTTCACTGACAAATTTTATGTCATTTTGGTGAGTTTTATGTCAGGACGTTCAATTAAGAATCTCTTGCTATTCCTAATTCTTTGCAATAGTTCCTCTGAAGATCCTTTACTCAAGGTATGAAATTCTTGGATGGCAGTTGCTACTTTCCAATCATGTCTAACTTATGCTATTAGATCCTGATACCTGCTACAAAGCCCAGATAATTTTGAAGTATTTATCACCTTTAGACAGAGCAAGCATACCAAGTCCAATATGTAATACCCCAGTTAGTATTCCTAATTTTCCATCACCTCCAGGAAGACACTGAGGGCCTCTACATTCATGAATTGTCAGAATGCCTTCAGTCAGCCAGAATGTGTGACATGATAGTGATTCAATGAAGGAACTGCAACTTTTCACATAGCTTCCTAACATGCAACTATCTTCTTATCTGTCAATACTTACGGCTATAACAGATTTACCCATTGAAATTTATACTGCTTGGGAGAAGGGAATCCATCTTTCCAGCAGAGTCATGTCAGTAAGCTATTTCAAACTAGAATTTCATACTTGATGATATCCAGCAAAGATTTACCCAGATTAAGGGCAGTACAGGTAACCACAACCTGATGGGTATAAACTTTCCCATCAGAAATTATTACAAGCACCCAGGAACTGCACCATTCTACAGAATCCTTTTGGTCTCCATTTTGGATCTTATGCACCAGGTCAACAGCTAGTCTTCAACTGCCTAGTCCAAAGATGTCAGAGACTTGCTGACTCACTTGCAGACTACATAATGCTCATAGTTTTGTGACAAAGGATCTGCATAAGACAGTAACTAAAATAAGAAAGGACTCCTTAGCTTTTGAATTAACAAAAAGATAGTGGTACTTACATAAACAGAAAGAAAATAAACCTAGTGATTGTCAATAATACTAATTATTAACGAGCCAGTGTTTCAACATAAAAGGGCAGTGTTATTACCAAGTTCTACCTTGGTTCCACAGGGGAAGTTAAGCAGATCTGAGGGGAAGGAAAGGACGCTATAGCAATCTAGGAGACAGGTAAATCCCAGATGGATATTACTGGTCAGAAGACTCCTACGAGGTTTACTTGCAAAAAGGGGACCTGAAAAACAGGGATTTGTATATTGTTTGATGGAACAGCAGCAAATAAGAAAAAGTAACTTCCAGAATAGGCCCTGGCAGACAGTACTAATTTATATTAAATACACACTTCAAACTACTTTAGGAGGCCAAGCACCTCAAGTTTATACAGCAGCACAATATCAAGGATCTGCATTTTCACCTTTCAGATGCTGCATTAGTCTCTCAATTGTCACCAACTTTACTGATGTAATAAAACTAGAATTATCTAGAAGGCGATAGAATACACACAAATCTACCATTAAAAATTCTAATCCTCCAGATACTTAAAAATAAGTTGTGCTGCTTTTAAAAACTATGACTGGTTGTTGTAGGTATTCAGACCAGTAATATTTATTGCACAAATCAAAGAAAAATAGGTTCAGATAAATGAGAACTTACGTGACCTTTGAGCTAGCTCAGGTGTCATTAGCAGTCTGGACACAGCAACACGTAACAGCTAACTTTTCCTGCTTCTGTAACATACCATTACAGAAGTACGTACGGAACCAATAAATATATATACACACACACTAACTGTTGGGAGAAAAAGAAAAAAAAAAAACCAAAACTAACATAAGCATAAGTTTGGGGACTAGACTTAAGTTAGCTAAAATAGAGAGGCATTCTTTAAGAACAAATACTGCTTCTGTTTGAAGCAGGTAAATATGAAATAGAGTTATGGGGATTTTCACGTGTAAACGTGATTTGGTGGTTAGCACTTGAGAAAAAAAAGTTTAGAAGTTACAGTGGACAGAAGCAAATACAAGTCTCTACACCAGTATGACAAGTAATGTTCTCTACAACTGTTAGGCTCCTGAGTACAATTGCATTACAACTGCTCTATCAAGTAAGTAACTAAATATACCACCTTTGGAAACTCCACTTTAGCACAGGTGAGCAGTATCACATTCCAGATGGCTGTGGGTGGGGGTTTGGTTTTTGTGGGCTTTTTTTGGTTGTGGGGTGGTTTTTTTCCTTATTTTCATCATACTGGGCTTGTTTGTTTTGTTTAGCATGTGGCACAACTTCACGTTAAACTTTCGATTAAGTATGTTTTAACCCATCAGTGATGTGTTAGGTAACTCAATCTCTGCTCTGAATAAAAGACAGGACAGCTTACGTAGAGATAACATCCCCGAAGCAGCATTTTATTTTATTCATTTAATTCCAAAACATTTAATTTAGAAGTCTGGCATATCAGTCATCCATCTTAACATGGGCTAATATTGACATCGTGTTGTCAGAATACACAGACAACTAAACAGCCAAAGAGTTTACAAAAAATAAATTCATGATTCTTCAAAACAACTGCAAAAGGTTACAAGTATCAAAACTCTTAGGTAGATGCACTGCATTGAAAGAAACTGTGCACATAAGTCAGAGGCAAAAAAAACAAATTGCAACTGAAACCTCACATTTCAAACAGTTTATTGTAAACTGATGACCAGGGTTGTCATTTCACATCAGCTTAACTGTTTTCATTGACTGAAAAAAGTTTGGGGTGGCTAATTTACTTTGCATGCACAAAATGTACTGCTTTTAACAGAACTGTCAGCTCATTTCAAATGGAAAAAAATTGAACTGGAATCTAATTATCTTCAATCACTTTCCATTATTCTTTCTCATATTTTCCAATCAACAGGCAAACTAAAAATGCCTCATTTACTATGCATCTTTCTGCACTGCTCACGTGCAACTAAGATAGATAGGGCCAATACACCAATCAATCCATCAATGCCCATGAAGACTCATCTGAAACTGCTTCTTGATAAAGTGGACAGCAGATCTGAACAGCTGTACAATACAGATATGCTTAGCACTAGATATTTAGTGTGACTGTGGCAAGGAAATATCGGTGATGATGGGGATGGCGAAGTGAATGAAAGAGGGATCGGAGGAAAGCTTTTTAATTATTGCCCTCTCCTGCTTCTTCATCTTGCTGATCACTCGTCCACAGAGTGAGGTTATCTCGAAGTAACTGCATGATGAGAGTGGAGTCCTTGTAGGAATCCTCATTTAGTGTGTCCAGCTCTGCTATGGCATCATCAAAGGCTTGTTTGGCTAAAAGGCAGGCCTGCTCAGGAGCATTCTGGATTTCATAGTAGAACACTGAGAAATTGAGTGCCAGCCCAAGCCTAATTGGGTGAGTGGGCTGCATGTGCTCCTTGCTGATTTCAAAAGCCTCTTTATAGGCAGCTTCTGAGGCTTCCACCACACTGTTCTTCTTCTCTCCAGCAGCAACTTCTGCCAAATAGCGGTAGTAATCCCCTTTCATTTTCAGGTAAAAGACCTTGCTCTCATACTGGAAGTCATTGCAGTTCTTGATCAAGTATTTATCAAGGAGAGCCAAAACATCATTGCAGACTGTCTCAAGCTCCTTTTCTATCTTCTCCCTATAGGCTTTAACCTTCTCCAGCTTCTTCTCATTCCCATCTGCCATAGTCTTCTGCTCTATGCTGCTGATGACACGCCAGGAAGATCGTCTAGCTCCAACTACATTCTTGTAGGCTACAGACAGCAGGTTTCTATCCTCATTTGAGAGAGGCTCATTCAGTTCAGTTACCTGAAAATACAGACAAAGATCAAATTTAAAGGGTTTGTCTTAGAGAAGAGCATGCAAACTTCCCTTCAATAATTCCATCATTGAGTGCAAGATTCAAAATTCCTTCTAGATCCCAAAATTTCTTCCAGATAAGACTCAATTTGTAATTTTGAAGTTTAAAACTGTTTCTGCAGTCGACTTGAGTGAAAACCCCACCGTTTTGTTGTAACAGAATGGGTATTTAGTAGACCCATTGCAAAGCACATTCACTGAATAAAAGTGAGTCAGGCTTGTGTAACGGAGAAGCATTCAGAGAAGGTAGGCTCAGGTTTTTTTAGGAAGTCTGCTATAATTATGCAGACTACACACTTAGTGATGAATTTAAATGTACCTAGAATACCAGTTTTATGACTCTGGAACACAGCACAGACACTGGAAACTGGTGCAGTTCTTGCATTTCTTTCCCCTGCTGCTTTCTTTCATTCAACAGCAGAGATGGGAAGCGCTGCAGTCATTATGTTTAAGCTCTGCACAGCACAAATGGAATTAGTGTTTCACAGTTATCTTTCAGTCACTTAGTGAGCAATTATACAATGTAATACAAAAGTTATCCTGATTTCCGTCAGCTGGTGGCTGCAGACAAATTTCAGAGATAGGACATGAACAAAACTGCATAGAAATAGAACAGGAAATCAAGAAAAAAAAGTCATGATCAACTCCAAATTCCCAATACAAAAAGCTGGGATAGAGGAAGGATCATACTTCTAATACTGTATTTAGGCCTATTTCACTCGCTGTGTTAATTTACAGTCAGACCTAGAGTCACTTGAAGTTGTTCTACTTTTGCGAATTTACAAACATGAAATTAAACTCACAGGAATTATGATGAAAAATATAACTTTAAGCATACTGCATTAAAAGAAGTCACTAGAATTCTACGGATATGCACTTTGGTGTGAAAGTCCTTGCTCAGACACTACTAAAATCATTAACTATTTCTTAAAAAATGTGCATATTTACACTGCTTGACAGACATCAGAATGTTCACAACCAATACTTGCATACTACAAGTAATCAACTCACAAATATTTACGCTATTCTGAGACTGCTGGTGTAGCCAGTGAACCAACCAATAACTGTGCATTTTCCAAGTCTAAAAAGTAATTTATATGAATTATAACTGTTACTGCAAGAGAGCGCTTACTTTCAAATTTAGGTTTTGTTCTTAAAATATTCCAAGTTAACTAGTTTTATCTCCAAAATGCCTTTTCCCAACAGCTCAGGAACCTGAACTCCCAAAAGACACTGCTCTGCCTGGCCTAATACAATTAGAGACAATCTACAGAGAAACGCACAGGAATCAACTCTAATGTAATCTTCATAATCTTCTTCGCAGCCTCCAGTCAACATCCTTCCAATAAACCTTCCCTCAATAATCTCTACTACAACCCAGCTATCTAGTAAAGATACTAACTCCTTCAAGATGTAAAGGCTCAGCTAAGAGCCCTTTATTTCCTACAGTCTATTAGGGCAGCACTTCCTTTTACAAAAAATAAAGAAATTCACCAAAGACGACTACTAATCACTTGGTCATTCCTGCACTGCTGGAGGACTTTTCTTGAAAGTTTATTGCAAGTTGTCAAACACAATGATTGATCTAAATGAGCCAATAATGTTTTGCTAAAATCTAAACGTCATTTAACCACACAAATAAATCCTTTTTTCCCCCACCTGTCTTTGTTATCCTTACAGTATTGAAAAAAAAAAATGAAAAAATATAATGATCTGTTAATATACTACTGAGCTATAACACCCACAAAAATGAAAACTGAGTATGGAAAAGCATACAAGACACAAAAATAACTTGAGGATGACTTAGTGGGACAGGACAATAGCAACAGAAATGCCACCTCTTGGCTTGGCAGTCCAGACTTCATACGAAAAAGACTAAAGTTACAAGAAGACTGCAACCACAGCTGTCCTAATTCTTCACCTGATACTTCATCACCTTTTTTTGCCTCATCCTCCACTTAACACTGCTGTTCTCTGCCCTCAGCTAACTGCTACCTTCATGTTCATCCCTTTCCCTCTGCTTCAAACTAAATATCCTGCTAAATGCTGGTATTTAGGTATTCAATAACTAAAAAAAATGCACTCATCCTAAACCTTAATTATAATTATTTCTTCTGCCTCCTTAAGGTGGTTTCTTAAACTTTCTATTAGAAACTTTTAAGGACAAATGTCTTCTGTGTATTCAAAACACCAAAATTGCATTTTACAGTACATAACAAATGTCCTGGGAACAATCAAAAAATTTTGAGTACTAAACCCTGAATTTTCACTATGCTATATAGCTGGTGTATTTACTTAAGGGGAGATAAATGAATCAAGTTTTCAAATTTCATCCAGTTTGTCACAAGAGACAAAACACAATCTTACAGGAATATCACTAGCCTTGAAAGAGTATTTCAGGTTTTTTTCTAGTCTATCGTCTCTCTCGTGATGTTATTTAATTGCAGAAAATGCATCACAACACCCACCCTGAAAAAGGACAAGATAAAACCAGACACGTTTCTCTTCACATGTGGAGATGGGATGTACAGAAAAAGAAAACTTGAAATGCTGAAGGAAATGTGTTTCTTCCTATCTTCCATTCTACCTATAGCCTTTCCTTAGTAGAAAATATCTTGGAACTGCAATAATTTACTTTTATATTTTAGATGAAGACACACTTTCTTATAATGGTTGTTAGGAAAAACAGAAGCACTTAAAAGATGAAAACCCATTTGTAGTATGACTTCAAAGCAGTACTTACTTACTCAGGTGCTACTCTCTACTTGCCTCATGCAAACACACACCTCTCACAGCTAAGTTTGGGGTGATTTTCAGTCGTGAAGCAGATGATGCAATTGAACACACAGACTATGACCTGCTAGCAGTTTTCATTCAGACTGACCGTCTGCTTTTTGTAACAAGACTACAGTCTAAATAATTTATTTCTATAATACTTACACAGATCTCCTCCTCTGCTTTAGGCCCACAAAGTTTTCACAGTTTACTGGGAAAAAAAGGGGAGTATATAAAAGGAACTCTGACCATAACCCTGGAATTCCTAACTACACACGCTGATGAGCGTGACAGTACTGTATCAGCTCAGAAACTACTTCCATGTGTGTGATCCCACGTAGGCCAGACCAAGCTGAGTTACTTTCACGTGGGAAACACACCCAAAGGTTCCACAACTGACAGCAGATCTATGATGCATTGTTGGACTACCTGGTAGAATTTGATCCAGGTCAATTGAATGTATGTGTTATACTTCTGTTTTGTTAGCCGCAGCATGTAAGTCACAGCTAGAGCAGGCTCTTAACAAGCTGCTGCAAAAATGACTGTACCTGAGCCAGTATAGTGTCAGGTTTAATTAGTAAAACTCTCCCGATACCAAGTTACACAGTCCATAATTTTTGAACAAATAGAAAGTAGACACATGAATTTAAATCAGATCTGTTTCTTGCATTATGTGGTTTCAGTCTTTTACACCAAGCACTGGAAGTTCTATAGCTAGATTTACCATATAAAACCACAGTTAGGAAGTAATCTCACAGGAGGGGAGGGTAACATTTACATTAAAGGCATCTCATTCCCCCTCCTACACACACATACCTCATTAACCCAAAACCAGATGCTGATGTGAAGGAGAACTCAGTTATACAATACCAAAAGTATGGAACATCCCAAACTTTTAAGTCCATTTATGTACACAGAGAAAGCCTACAAATTAAAATAGAACATCAGCCTAGTTTGCTTAAAAAACTTTAGATAATTCCAAGACTTATATTTATTTCACATTGAGTAGTATTTCACTCACGACTAATTTTAAAATTATACTTCTCACATAACTCAGATTCATCTTACCGATTTTAAAGCGTAAATGACTCTCTACCCGCTATGTAGCTATACTAGAAAAGCAACATAAATGAATAGAAGTCCTGAGCACTACATATTAGGATTAATACTGTCTGAAATACTAAGGGTTTACACAGATAAAATGTTTAACTATTTCTGGAATGATCTAAAGCCAAAGCTACTCAATGCTGTATTCTAAGACACTAGAGTATTTGTTCCATCAAGTGAGAACCTTTAACACTTACACTAAAAGCATGTCTTTTCAGAGAGGTAATTTTTTACCTACCGTGTAGGGTTATTTCAAATAGTTGGAATCCTGCAGCAGCATTTAATGCAATGAGAACGCCACATCCCTTGGAAAAATGCCACTTAGTAGAGGCACATTTACATATGATTGTATTTTTTATTAAAATAATTTAGGCTGGAAAAAAGTAAACTAAACTCATTAATTTGTAACAGCAAACTAAGTGAAAACTTCGTTTTCCTCTCCTGTCTACAAATTATAAGCCAAAATACTAGACTTCTTCCAAGAAAAAGTTTAACAGCAACAAAAAATTGTATTATTGAGCAGTAGTTTCCTTATTTAAGCTACAACTGCTACTTCATCTGGCTTTTCTTTAAGAGAGGGAACTGCTAGGACTGAAAAATAAGTGCTTCTCCAGCTTTATACTGACAGTTGCAATGGCAGTCTTGTCATACTTTTTCTTCCTTCAGTGGCAGTCTGAAAAATCCTGCAAATATGCTTTTGCTAAAATACTCTTTGTTACTTTATGTTTTAGGAGTAACTATCAGGCTGTTGGCTATACTGTGCATTGTAAAACTGTGGTGATAAATATCTAGAACTGAAATTAATCATTCAGATTTCTATTTAAGCTGAAAGCATGCTAGTTTCATATAGCACCTTTAAAAACAATCAGATATGTTATATTCACAGATTAAAAAAAAAAAACCACACACTTTTCAAATCAAGATATCCTGCACTGAGGATAGATATCTGAGTTATAACACTGATTTCCTGTTGAAGGAAGTCTAATGTCTCTGGAGTGCAAGATTATTTGAATATTATTCTGTATGGATAAAAAGTTCTCTTAATAGCCGTTATTTACAATCACTGAAATACAAGGAAATATTAGCTGTGTGAGGACAGCCCACATAACATTTCATAGGAGGTTATGCTCAGACCTGCAAAATCAACTTCAAACACTGAAGAGCATTCTGGAAATTACCATGTTAGAGTGAACACCTGTGAAAGCCAAGTAACCAACAGACGCTACATTACAGGCATGCAACAGTATATGAACATCTTAAAAGAAGGAAACTGTTGCCTTTTAAATTCAGCTTTAGTTTTTGTATTTTTAAAGTATCTATAATGTAATGTTTCAGAAATGCTCAAGATTCCGCTCACTTACAAAGTGTTCTCAGGCTCCCAATTACAGAAGCTCATCATTATACAACTTACTTGACAGCAAAAGTAGCATTACAGATGAGAATACTATGACTTAAGATGAATTAAAATTGCATAGTAACTAGGACAGTTGAAAAAGATAACTGGACGTACACACCAGTTACATGTACTTCATTTAGATATTTCCTGAAGCATAGCAATCGTATTCTGTTTGTTTCATGTATGTTCAGAGCGCCATAAATACACTACAATTCAGTGATATTTGGAAAAATAAAAAGCTATCTACCAACTACAGCTAGAAAAACAGTCTTCTAGAGGAGCTGTGGATTTTAGTGGTTTCTCCATTTCATCTCTTAGAATTCGCAATTGAAAGATTTGAGAGATATAACAGAGCTGTTACTACTAAATTATATGTATCAAGAATTCTAGCGATATATCTTTACAATACAGCTTATTTTAATGTCTAGTGCCTCTGGTGCCGAGATACTCAGAAGTATTGCTCCTTTTAGACTGGTCACAGTATTTATTACGACACAATAGCAAAAGTGAACAAGAGCAGCAAAATAAGTCTTTTTACTGCCCTCACTTGAGGGATGTGACATACATTACAACCCTGAACGAGACTAAATGGATCGATTCGTTCATCACAGATGTGAACTCCATTTGCAGCTGCTCTTTCAAACTAAAATGATCTCGTGTCTTTAAACAGCAGTAGTCTCAAGGGAAACGATTCCTTTTGGGGCCTTTGGTGCTCACAAAGGACAGATCAGCAAGAACAAATCAATTGCAATCAGATACAGCAAAGACACCACTAGGCATTGACTGGCATTAAAATTCAGACTATACAAATACTTTGTTTTTAAGAAAGGGACTAGACATAATAAGTTTGATCATTCTGCAATTTTATTAGGTATCAGTACAGACAGGTCAGTACAAGTCATTTTCATTGCTTGGTTCTGAAAGGAGCCGAGTTGCAACTGTAACTTATTGTTTAAACACATGTCAGTATTCAACTGGTCACTGAACGCACTGAGAATTTGTTACCCTACAAAGAAGAGGCAAAAAGGCAACGTTAAAGCTTGGGAGACGCGCTCTATGA